TACCTCCTCATACACAGACTGACCTTGATCAATGACCTTGCCTCTGTAAAGGAGCAGCTCCACTGTTTATTTCCCTCCAGTGCAGGACAGGGCCCTCCCACAGAACCAGGACGAACATGTCATCACGTATTATTTTTCTATTTGTTAAACACTTAATTTTTACCCATAATCCTCTGCATTTTGAAGAAGAGAAGCTTGGTTTCCACTTGAATGTGAGCATCACAGTAGAAAAGAATTGATTCAGTAATTCTATTGATCTCTACTGGAGGTCAGTACAAGTACATGCAGTACATTGTTCAATACATGTCTCACGTCACGTCTACTATCTTCTTCTATGTTTACTATAATTCATATATTTATATATATATATTTATTAGAACTGTAGTGAAAATAACCAAAGACCTGGAGTGGAGTTTGAATCCTATCTGATGGACCAGGTGAAAAACAGGGTGGGACAGGTGTGTGTGTGTGTGTGAGTGTGTGTGTGTGTAATGACATGTTTACTCTGCAGCCAATGACGTAAATTACAGCTGTTCTCCAGGACCAACAGGAAGGATTGATCAGTTTCCTGCTGCTCAGACGGTGTCTGTAAGGTGGTGTGGACGGAGAGACCAAATGATGGAGTGAAAGAGATTCAGTGAGACGGAGTGAGGGGGAGGAGAGGGGAGGGATAGAGGGAGAGAGAGAGGGAGCTCTCAGTGGGCGGTAGAGAGGTTCAGAGTGAGTGACACGGCAGGAGTTTTTATTTGATACTTTAGTCGTTTCTCCACCTGAAATAACAGTAATCTACACACACACACACACACACATACACACTCTCTCTCTGTTCACACAGTCTGCAGTGTTTGGTCTGAGAAGAACATTTTTCTCAGTCACAGTAACTGTTGGTTATTATTTTAAATCAATATATAAATGATACCTTTATATTTATATATTTAACCAAATACATATTGTAAGTGAATGAAGGTTCTCTGTGTGGAAAAGGAAATGTCAAAGATCAGTGATGTACATTTAGTTGG